ATCTTCCTAGAAATCTGAGAAGATCTGGATGAACTAATGAAGAATGAAGTGAGCAGAACCAGGAGAACCATTTACACATAGACAACAACATCATAATGACAACTACTGTGAAAGCTCTAAGTATTCTCCTTTGCTTCTTCCTTCCCAGTCTGGCCTCTGAAGAAACGAGGGTTCACAAGTGTGGAACATCGCATACAACATCAGATTTTTTTTGATGGAGTGACTGGTTTTACTGAACTTTTTCTCTTTTTTTTTCTTTCCTTTAGGGAGAAGGGGAAGGAAACAGGGAAGTATAGGTAATGAAAAAACAAAAGCTAGTAATTAAAATGTTTTTTAAATGAGTCAGTGGCTATGTAGAGCCTTCCTTGAGGCCAGGATTCAGAGAAAGGCTGCCTAGAAGGAACTGGGTGCTGCAAGGCTGCTCTGTGTGTGTGTGTGTGTGTGTGTGTGTGTGTGTGTGGCAATTGGGGTTAAGTGACTTGCCCAGGGTCACACAGCTAGTAAGTGTCATGTGTCTGAGGCCACATTTGAACTCAGGTTCTGCCGACTCCAAGGCTGGAGCTCTAGCTACTGCGCCACCCCAAGCAAGGCTGCTCTTGTGAGGAGCTGCTATTCATGGCCAGTTTCTGCAGCATTCTTCTGGAGCAGATGGGCACCTATGTGCCCTCCCTTCTGTTCTGGGGGGTTCTCATACTGGGGGCTTTCCCTGCCGCTCACATCCTGCACCTGTATGGGTTCCCGGGGGAGCTTGTCTCCAGATGCCCTTTCAGGTGACGCCCTTGTTCTCTCTTATGGTCCTCTGACCTTTGCCCTAAGGGCCCCTGGGCCCAGTCACGGGCTGAACTTCAGTTCCTGAGGCAGCATGTCAGAGTTAGGAGGGCCTTGGTTTGCTTGCTAAGAACCAGCAAATGTTCACAGTCCCTAGAGACCGTCCTCAGCTTCAGGAACACCAGGCCAGTCCCTCAACCACCAGTAGTATTTCAAGGCCACACTAAGTGAGCTCTGGCAGGGCTGCTGACTGCTCCTGTGACGGGACCTACCTGCCTGCCACCACAGTTCCATGGGCCAGACTGCTGGTGCCTCTCCTCCCCACCCCAAGGTTACCATTTGCTGGGGATGCCCAGGAGTTTTAGGGAGTGGGAAAAAATCCCTGCCATTCTGCACCTGGGATGCTCCCCCAGCCCATACCCCTGAGAGGGCTTGGGAGAGTGGGGGCTCATATAAAGGCCAGACCCCCAAGAGTCCAATGGGAAGCTCTCTGAGAGAAGGGACTTCGTCTTTGTCTAACAGTATTCTGTAGTAGGTGTGGAATAAATGCTTATTGACGGCACCGAACTGAAGAGGAGCCACAGCCCCCAGTGCCGCCCATGACAGGAAAAAAGCTCCAAATCTCAGATCTGCCACTTACAATATGGTTTCATGTTGTGACCTTAGGCCAGTGCTGTCCCCTATCTGGGCCTCAATTTTCTACTTTGTAAAATGAGGGGCTTGGACTAGATCAGAGGCGGCAAACACACCCAAGGCAGCCCTAGTGTGGCCTGATCCAGATTATAATGTCATTGGGAAAATAAATAAACATGCATGAGAACAGAGATGATGTTCATGTGTGGTTTTCCTAAGTCAATCAATGGCTCATAGAGATCTTTATGGAGGGTTGAGTAACCCCATTTCTAGTTGAGTTTGACCCCTCTAGAAGATGCCATTCAGGTCACTTCCAGCTTGGAATTAGCCCACACTTCCTCAGGCACCTTAGAGCCCAGGCCATTCGTGGGGGGAGGGGAAGAGAACCCCTAGGTAGTCTGTCTGCGGAGGTCTATGGACCCCTCCTGAGAATCAGGTTTGTAAATGCACAAAATAAAAGTCGGATTCCAAAGAAAACCAAAGGTGAATGAAAAGAAAGATGTCATGTGTTTCCCATCCAAGGTCACAGAACCCCTGAAAGCCATCCTAGGAGTTCCTGCCTCCAAAAGCCCTGATCCCCAGCCTTCCTCCCTTCCCTGACACCTCCGGACAGGTGCAGGATAGGCTGGGTGGGGGTGGGGGCAGGCTGAGCCAAGCCCTTCTCACTCTCAAATTGATAAGTTAAGATGAATGCAGACGAAAGGCCCTATTCAATTGTTTATGAGCTCAGGTGGCAGATCCCCACATCCCCAGCCATTTGTTGCCAGCATTTTGGACCTTCAAGGCATGGTTTCCCAGTGAGTTCAGGAGGTCACAAGGTGTCCAGGACCTTAGAGATCAGCTGGTCCAAACCCTCATTGCAGAGGGGGAAACTGAGGCCCAGAGAGAAGCTATTCGGGATCACAAGCTGGAAAGGACCTTTGGGACCACTGCGTCCAAACCCTTCGTGTGTCAGAGGGGAGAAACTGAGGCTCAGAAAGAGGAAACAGGCCCAGGGAGGGGGATGTGACTTAGAATCAAGGGATGCTAGAGACTTGAGGGGGACTTTAGAAACCACTGAGTCCAATCTCCCCATTTTGTAGACGGGAAACTGAGGCCAAGAGTAGGGAAGTGATTGAGGATTACCAGCCTTCGCAGGTGAAAGGGATCTTATTAAAAAGAATACAGGGACAGCTGCAGTAGATAGAGCACCAGCCCTGGAGTCAGGAGGACCTGAGTTCAAATCCTGCCTCAGGCACTTGACACTTAACTAGCTTTGTGACCCTGGGCAAGTCACTTAACCCTGATTGCCTCACCCCCAAAAAAAGAATATGGAGGTGAAAGGGACTTTAGAGACCATTTAATTTCCCCCCTTCATTTTACAAGGAGCAAGCACAGGATGTCAAGGATACCAAGTATAAATGCCTTATGTGTCCAGGAGAGGGTGAAGTCCTTACAAGAGCCAGGGAGGACCCTTGAGATCAGCTACTTGAACACCCCATTTTGATTTCTGACTTCCTCATGCCCCCATTTGTAGGTGAGGAAGTTGAGGCCATACAGGTAGAGGAGTGGATCTGGGATCTGGTAGACGAGTCCTGTGTCAGAATGGGCAGCTGGAGTTGGCAAGGGGCCTACATTGTTCTCGTGTTGTAGCCCCCAGTTTGACTTTAGAACTTCATGGAGACTATGTGTCTTGGCCTTCAGGCCCTGAGGGGCTGGCTCATTGCCGGCCTGGATGAAATTTGGAAGGCTTAGGCCATTGAGGACTAGCTCATGGAGGTGAAGAAAGAATGGTTCAGTAATGGTTCAATGGTTAGCAAGGACCACACAAAGCAGACCACAAGGAAATATCTAGAGAAAGCTTTTATTGGGTGGTGCTACCAGGACAGAACAGGACGTAGTTAGGACTAGAGATGGTGAAGGATGGCTCAGGATGGGGACAGGTGTTAGGGGTCAGCCCACTGCCCAACTCCCTCCTTCAGAAAACATTGGCAGTAAGAAGGCAGACATTTTAAATAAACACTTGCAACACACACACACACACACACACACACACACACACACACACACACACACACATACATACATACATACAAAATCATAATTTTTTTTAAATTTGAGATTTTATAGCTACTAGATAGGATGATATAATTATAAACTAGTGCATATTTACACACTTTCAGAATTAAAGCTGCCTCATTCATTCGCAGAGTTTCTAAGGGCCCTTTAGAAAGCAGAAGCAAAAATAACCCCCCTCCCCCTCCCTTTCCCTCTTTCCCCTCCCCTTCCCTCTTTCCCCTCCCCCCACCCAAAGGGCAGCCAACATCCAAGTCCACCCCAAACTTTCCCAACAAGACTTAACCCTTGGGTTGTGTCCAGTGGCGCTTCCCACAATCCCTTGGCTTTGTGCCCCCCCTTCCCTTCCCTCCCACCCCATTACCCCAAAACTCAAAAAAGCAGCATTAAAAGTAAAGCCTTCATCAATATGATACCAAATTCAAAATATGCACTTTGCTTGAAAAAGAAAAGAAAAAGAAAGAAAAGAAAATCAAAACCCTAAAATACATCTATTGGATAAAAATCAACTTGATAGAAACATTACTGATAAGCATTTTGTATTGAGCTATTTTGGACCGATGAAGGTATGAGGTCCACAGGTCAGAATTGCCTTAACGCTTCTCTCCGCCCCCCACCCCCCAAAAAGCCCCCCCAGTAAGTAAGACAAGGCCTCCCTCCTAGTGAAGGGGCCAGAGAAATGCATAGATAGGTAGGGACCAGAGAGAAGGCCCCAAAGTGGCCACTAACAAGAAACATACACCTGAAATCAGAAGAAAATCAGACCCATTTCAAGATCTTTTGAAAGAACAGTATGTAGGTTCATTTAGACAGCTGCTGGTGACAAACTGGGGTTGGGAGGGAGAGTCATGGAGGCCCCACTGAAGTTCTGAGAAATGCCCTCCATGATTGCCCAGTGTCTAAGCCAGCAGAATCCCTCTGGAATTCTGGGGCCTTCAGAGAAAATGTAGGAAAGAAAAGACGACAACTTTGTGTGGGGAGCTGGGGGTGGGGGGTGGAAAGCTGACTGTTCTGGGAAGCCTCTCCTTGAACTGCCACCACAGAGAGCACAGGACCATGGGCTGCTGTGCATCTGGGTCAGCCTGCTGGGTTACTGAAAAGCAGTGACCAAGGACAGAGTTCCAGGAACTCTGTCACCAGAAGAGAAGAGACCCAGGATCCATAGAGAAGAGCCCAGGAAGTATATCGAGGCTCCCAGACTGAGGGCGGCTCAGGGTGCAGGTGGAGAGAGGGGCCTGCCTTGGGAAACAGGAAGTGGGGGAGACATGGCCATTAATAAGACAGGCAGGTGGCCACCTCCTCCCACCTCCCCTTCCAGCCCTGGCTCATTCAAAAGGGAATCCTTGCAGAAGATCCCTAAGAAACAATGGAGCATGGGGCAACTAGATGGTGTAGTGGATAAAGCTCCAGCCTTGGAGTCAGGAGGATCTGAGTTCAAATCCGGCCTCAGATACTTGACACTTACTAGCTGTGTGACCCTGGGCAAGTCACTTAACCCCAACTGCCCCACCAAAAAAAAAAAAAAGAATTAAAAAAAAAAAAGAAACAATGGAGCAGCGTGGTCCAGTGGAAAGAGCTTTGGCCTATGCTCCTGTTTTTGCTCTGCCATGGGCTCTCTGTATGACCTTGGGCACATCAATGCCCCTCCTCTGAACCTCAGTCTTCTCCACTATTAAAAAAGAGGGGGATGAATTAGTGTCTAAGGCCCCTCCTGGCTCTAAGATTATTGTATGTATGACCGTATGCATGACCATTAGAATGATTAGGGTCTAAGGAGCATGACTATACTGTTATCTGTCTAGATTCTAAGGCCAAGCCCCTTTGCCATTCCCCACCCCTCCCCACGGTGAAAGACACTGCTTCTGCTGAGCTTCCCCTGCTGCAGGGAACAGGATGCCCTCTAACAACTCACATTTTAGGATGCTTTAAGATTGATGAAGCACCTGCCCCACCAGAACCCTGTGAGGTAGGGCATGCAAGATTATTCTCTCCCTTTTACAGATGAGAAAACTGAGGCTCAGAGTAGAAAAAGCAGTTTGCTCACAGTCACACAGGTAGTAAGTGTGGGAGCTGAGATTTGAACCCAAGTCTCCCGCTTTCAAGCCTACCATACCACTTCTATCTGTGGAGTTATTTAGAGATGTTTCCCTAGAATGTCTTTGGTTCCTTCCCTCGCAACCCCCTCCGTCTTGCTTTCTAAAAGGTCTGTTAAGGCTTCCCCCCCCCCAGTGGTATAATTGGTGATGAGAAGAGGTGGTCCCAGGGGACAGGCCATCCCCCACAGCCCGTCCTCACTACATCTTAGGGCTCTGAGTTTTCAGTGCCATTCCTGATAGGGTAATGACCATACAGGCCTCTTAAGCCAGATCTGAGGAAGGTGGGAGATGAACCAGCTTGTTTCCAGACCACGACTAGCATTCCAAAGGATACTATCTGCCACCAGACATATCCTTTGGTCTTTGGAAAGAGCCCACTGGAGGCAACATGCAGAAGATGCAAGAAGCAATTTTCAGATTTCTAACCTGTTCCAGAGGACAGGTGTTTTTGGAAATCTGCATGCAAAAAGCCAGTGGCCAGTTGCCCAGCAAAGTGGGTTCCATGTTTTAGTGCAGGAAAGCTGAGGGAAGGGATCTGGTGGAGGGGGGTAGAGCAGTGGTCAGAGTCCCATCCTCCAACCCCCTTTCCACAAGCCACCAAATAGCATTTTCTCTGCATGATGGCTAGATGGTCAATGGACCAAGCATGCTTCCAAACCTCTCATCTCCATATTACAAATACATTTGTCAATGACAGTATTAAAAGGCTGAAATTGACAACCAAACTTGGTGCATTTAAGACAGTGGTTTCTATCCAGACATGAGTAGTTCCATTATTCAAACAAGCAAAAAAAAAATCCAAATCTAATTTAAAGCACATTCTAATTACTCTGCCTTTTAAGTTTTTATCACTAGAGTGGGAGGGAGTGACTATTCCTCAAAACTCAAGGACTGCCCTGTTTCCAAACAAAACAACTTTCTGAAAAAACAAAAGATAAAGCTAGTCTTGGCAACAGGCTATATCTCTTCCTTGGCCTGTTTAGATGAGATATTCCACGATTTCCACATCTGGATGGTCTTGTCCTGGAACACGAACACTCACTTTTCTTTCTCCAGCAGCAGAGCGGACCACTGTACCATCTGAATGGAAGCAGAGAAGGCAACACGTGTGTGCGCGTGCGCGCGTGCATGCGCACACACACACACACACACACACACACATTCAATTCAGTTTCTTGGGAGAGAAAGACAAGCTCCAGGAACTCTTTAAGCCACTAATGGGATGGGAGTAACTATGTATGGAAACAGGTCTTTCCTGCTTTTACTACCCATTGCTTTGTTGGGGGTCCAGAACTTTTCACACAACGGTAGTGGCAATATTTGCAAACCTTCCTCCCCATCCATTCCCCTTGGAAGATCCTATGAGGGATGCAGCCATTGTTAGCAGCAATCTCCCTAATAAGGTCCACCTAGGGCCACCCTGAGTCACATTAGGCCCACCAGAGACAAAACAGACACCAAAGGGCAAGCCAATAAAGTCCGGAAACTCCCAAGGGAACACGTTACCTGATGCAGAGAACGAATTACCTACCTGTCTTCTCTGAATTATAGGCCAAGTTTGGAGCAGGGAAATGAGCTGGTCCAGTGATGGTGGCTGGATGGAAAGAAGAGGGAGCAGCAGTCCCGGCAGCGGGCCCAGTGGCAGCCCCAGTGGCGGCGGCTCCAGCGGTGGCCCCGGAGGCAGCCCCAGCCCCAGCAGCAGCAGCAGGAGCAGCAGCAGCAGTGCCGGTGGTGGCAGCTGCGGCAAGAGCAGGAGCTGCAGGAGGGACAGCAGCTGTAGCTGCAGCTGCTGCCTCGGGCCCGGGCCCAGTGGTGGTGGCGGCAGCAGTAATGGCAGTGGCTGCAGTGGCATTGGTGGTGGCATTGGCACTTTTAGCTGGGTCTGCTCCCCGATCAGTCTGAGTGCTGCAGTCACGGCTGCCTGTCTTGGAGTGAGCTGAAAGTGGTGGGGAAGATGGGGTAGAAGGGATGGATGACTCAGAGTGGCATTCTGTGCCCAGGAGGACACCTGTGAAGGGAAGAGGAGAAGATGAGGGCCCAGCAGAAGGGATGAGGAACCATGCAATCTGAATTCTTCCTGTGTGCCACTGATCTGTTTCCCCAATGCCCCAGGTCTCTGGCTTATTCCTGAGGATGACTATCATTAGCAAGGTCTTTGAGGCCCCATCTTAATCCCACAGCTGCCTGGGGACCGAGGGAGGTAGGATCTGAGCGAGCCCCAGAACAAGGTGCTTCACTAGGAATCGTCTGATTTCTCCTGGCAAGCAATGTGTCCGGTGGTGAGGAAGGGCAATCATTGCTGTTCCTCTTGCACTTTAAAGCTGGCTTATCTGCTTGCATTACATGCTCACTTGAGCCTCACCATAATGCTACAAGGCAGGTGCTATTATTAGCCCCATTTTACAGATGAGGAAACTGAGGCAACCTGAGGTGAAGTGATTTGCCCAGGGTCACACAGCTAACAAGGGTCTGATTGAAGATCTTCCGGGCTCCAAGGCCAGCTCCATCCACTGAGGCACACGGCCTCAGTGTTCTCACAAGCCAAGTACAGGTAATGATTCTACTAGATACTAGCTGAAAGGTACCTTAGGCTAAGGCCTGCCAGCCCTCTGGATGGAGAAAAGGAAGGGAAGCCAAAGCTCCCTGTGGAGCTCAAACAAGCCCATTTTCTCAAAGCGCAAAGCGACAGCTACAATACTGTTGAAAAGTCTAAGCCTGCCCAGCATATAAAATGGAGAGCTGCTGTCTCGGCTGGAGAATTTTCTCTATCCAAATATCTGTGGCTCAAATCATCAGATCATTCAGGCAATGTGATTCTTCTGTTCCAGTCTGGCAAATCATTCTCAATTCTCCACCAACTCTAGGAGGGACAGAGGGATGAAGGGAGAGTGGGAAGAAGAGAGAGGAAAGGTGGGAGAGATGAAGGGAGACAGGGAAGGAAGGAGGGAGGAAGAGAAGAAAGGAGGAAGAGACAGACAGACAAAGACAGAGATAGACATGGAGCAGTTTTAATGTGTTGTATTTTTAATGGGTTTCATTTTGCAAATCTGCAGTTGTTTCAAACATGCCTTCCTCTCAGACACTGTAAAAAAAAGTTTCTTCTGTATATGTGAGAGGAAGGGAAGGAAAGAGAGAAAGAGGGGAGGAGGCAGAGAACAGGGAGGAAATAAGAGAGGGAGAGCTCACTTACGCCCCTGAGGGGGTCTGAGGCTAGACCTGGGAGTCAAGAAGACCTAGGTTCCCGTCCTCCCTGTGACACATACTAGCTGTGTACCCTCTCCATGCCCAGCTCCGTGTAGATGAGTTACTGGTCTGCATGGAGGGACCTTCCCCACCAATGAGATCCTGGGATCAGACAAAACCAAAAGGCCCTGGGACCAGCAGACCGTGCAGACAGACCAAGGGGGCTGGCTTCCTAAGGCTTGCTGGACAGAACAGGTCTTCTAGAATTGTATCTGTCCCACCCACAGGCACCTGCAAATCCTTCTCTTTAATGTAAAAGGAGAGAAGCAATATCTTTGAATTCAGGCCTGCTGAAAAGGAAGCAACCCAGGAGGGTGAAGATCGCTCTGCTTGCTGAGCTCAGAGATCTGGCCACTACAAAGCTGCTCTATCCTCCCCAGCTCTGCACAAGCAGAGGTCATCTAATGGAGGGCAGTGTCCAAGACCTAGTCTCAGGTGGCCACTTGGATCAGAGGCATTTTCATTGACTCTGGGAGTAGTGGAGAGAGTTGGGAAAGAGCTTCCCTGACACAGTTGCTGTGTGATCCCCCACAAGTCACTTAGATCTCTCAATGCCCTGGGCAAGTCTCTAAGACTAGAAATTCCAAATAAGTCACCAAATTCCATCTGCCAATAAAAATGATAGGTTCCTCTTTCCCACTCCCAAATCATCATTGCTAAGGCTATTTTAAATCACTACAATGTCATAAGGGTACATTCTGAAGGAAAACAACGCCAATCCCTTACTTACATTGAATGTACTATTTTAATAAAATCATGAAACTTTTAAAAACTGAGATTTAACTCAGTTGGAATAAACATTAAGTGACTGTTATTCTGTAAAAGGCCCGAAGGTCATAAAGCCAAGATAACCTTTAAGAGGCCTTTGTATCTGCAGGCTTTCACTCAGAGTTTGATGAGTACCATGGAATCATGGCCTTTCCCCCTGTCATGGGGCCATGGGAGATGAGCCAGAAGGGCCTCTCATCTTCCACCCTTAACCTCAGAAGCAGCACCTGCCCTACCTGTCACATGTATCAAAGGACCATCCAGACCTCCTGACACACGGGAACAAGAGAAGACCGCACTGAAGAGGCCAGGAAAGCCTCCGTGGCTAAGCTAGAGCCAAGCCTTGGCTGGATAGCAGTGGCAGTGGCACGCCCGACTCGTATCCTGCCCCAGGCTGCGGCCTCAACTGCAGAGAGATACTAACATGTGCCTTAGCCACAGGGAGCATTCCTGCAAGAGCACTGTTTGCTAAGGGTGTAGCCTGCTACTAGCTGCTGGACAGCTCCCCTCCCCTTGCTATTTATTACCTAAGCTCCCCTTCCAGCTCTCGTTCTCTCGCTTCTCTTCCAGGATGGGGGTGCTGCTGAGGGTGGAGGAGTGAGGGATCAAACCTGAGCTGGTGTTAGAAATGGACATCAGAGACTTTGCTGGACGCATGGGTGGCAGCTGTTCAGCCTTGCTGGGCTCCTTCCGGGAGCGCTGCTGGAGAACCTTAATCATGGCATCCTTTTCAATGATCTGGGCATGGAGGGTCTTAATCCTGTTAGAGAAAGCATGTGAAAACAGCCTTTGGGCCTCGGGCCACACTTGGGAGGGGGTAGAGGGGGTGCAGGGTAGAAGAGAGAAGAAAGACTCTGGGTCTGCCAGATTTCCCAGCCAGGCAAAGCTATTGGATCCAGACTGCTTACCTGCCCTCCATGTCAAGGCATCTCCTGTTGGCCAGCAGGATCTCTTCCTCCTCCTTCTGGATCCGTGCTTCCAACGACTTGTCATAGCTGGTGTTAGGAGAGTGGCTGCTACTGGTTGTATCCCTAGATGAGGAAATGATAAAGGGACGTTGGGAGGGCTACCAATTCCAGGTGGACTCTTCCTTCAGAGGAATTTCTAGAAAGGTCTAAACTGGGGCCCACCCATTTTAGGCTGGTTACACAGAGTGACTCTGGGCTCCACAGCCAAGCTCTCATTCGGCCAATAACTTGGACCAGATCACTCAGAGCCAGGGACTATCCTTAGGGAACAGGTCAAGGTGCCTGGGTTCAAACGCCTCGGACAGCGGCCCTCCTCTCCATCCCAACTCCTCAGATCTACAGCTCAGGCCTAGGTGCCCAGTGGAGGTCTAGCTTTCTCTTTCTCTCTTAGCCTCCAAAAAAAGCAGGAGACTTCCCTTCCCCCTCCTCCTTCCTCTTCCCCCACCACAAAAGGCCCTCTGCCTGCAGTCAAGCTAGTGTCAATGGTGCCAGCCTGCTAGCTGGGTATGAGTCAAGCAAAATCTGGGAGCTTGAGGAGTGAGGGGGAGCATCGTCCAAATACAGCAGGGGCCCCAAAAGATAATCTTCGAGTTGTAGCCGAACAGTCCCCAGCTGGTGCCCAACATGTGTGGCCAAAGTAGCCTGAGCCCCATCGCAGAAATGGCCAGCCTCGCCCCAGTCACCCTGACTGATCAGCAGGAGCAAAGCAACATGGGCTCCCAGCCTGAAGCTACAGCCTGGCCATGGGCTTTTAAGGAAAGAGTTCTGGAAATCAGTCATTTAGAGGTACCAGGCTTAGCTTGAAGCACATACATACATACATACATACATACATACATACATACATACAGGCAGTGGTAGTTGCTATTGTCAATGAATACCACTCTGGCCTTCTAGGGCCCTGAGCCCCCTCTGGGCGACTCAGCCTTTCCTCCTGCCAAAGTGGGAGGCCATGCTATTAACAACCTCCAGTATGTTTGGGCCCCAGGAGGCCTGGAGAAGGAAAGTAGGCAACAGGGGGAGGGGAAAGTTGGGGGGGGGGAGAGAGAAACTAGGCTGGGAGAGCCCAGAATGGACACCAGGAAAGGCTCAGGAAGTCTGAAAGCTTACAACTGTTTACTCACTGGCTCTCTTGTCCTCTCTGCTCTGGGCCCCTACAGGAACAGGCATCTGTCTGTGTGTGTGTGTGTGGGGATAATCACTGGCTGCCATGTCTGATGGCCTAGAGCCAAGGCACCATAGTGCAGGAACAGGGGGAGTGACAGTCTGTGGGGCCAAGGCCGGTACAAAGGCAATAGTGGGCCCGAGTCTCTATGACACTTTACATTTGCTGAGCCCCTTAGGTACACACTGCATTGTAGGAGTGGCAAGCTGTTCCGCTAAGTGACTAGCCCACAGCTAATATGTGTCACGGGTTTCAAAACCAGGATTTCCTAACTCTACCTCCAGAGTGCTATCCGCTGGATCATGCCAATTCACAACGTGTGTGACTATAAGCAAGCTCCAGAGCCTCTTTGATCAGAATCACTTTCCCTACCTGTGAGACAGAGGAATCTAGGCGAAGAATAAATGGCCTGGGGCAGGCCCTGGGCTTTGGGCTCCATTGTCTCTATGGTCCTCTGAGCCCCGGAATGCATGCCCATACTTCCTCAGTCATACCTGGGGCTTTCCTGTCCTGTTATTAATAATACTTCCAGTGAGCATTTTTCTAGCACATGAAGGTCTGTAAAGCACCATCTTGAGCACTTTCCTGGTGTCCAGTGTGGGCTCTCCCAACCTAGTTTCTCTCTCTCCTCCACTTTCCCTTTCCCCCGTTGCCTGGTTTTCTTCTCCAGGCCCCATGGGGGTCCAAGTATCTTTGCTCATAACAAATGCAAGTAGGTAGTAAGAATTTTGTTATGCCCATTGTACAGATGAGGACACTGACAGAAGTTAGGTGACATGCTCCTGGGGACATAGCTGGTAAGTGTCTAAGGTAGGATTTTGACTCTGAAGCCAGGATCTCATCAGGACGCAGCTCATTGGCCAGAGAAGAGAAGACTATGCCCCATCCCTCTCCAGGCTAAATGGATTTCTAGGAGCCTTCATTAAAAGGCCTCCCAGGTGCCTCACTGAGTTCTCAGGGGCCATAGCAGAGGAACCCAAGCTCTTGCAAGGACCTATGCCAAGTTGTAGAGGTTTGGAGTGCTGGTGTGGCACCACGTTGCCAGCCTACGGCCTGTAGACCAGCCTTGCAAAGTTGGGAGAAGCTCAACAGCTGGACACACTCTTGCAGACTGCCTCCCAAGAGGTTGCAACAGGTATTGCTGGAGAAAGCCCTTCTCCATTGAAGTTACAGGGCCCTTCATGGATTGTGCCCCAGCACCTTCTGCTCCCTAGCAGAGTTCATATCCCAGGCTCCTCTGGGAGGGGCTGCTGTGAAGCAGAGGCCCTGAGGAGAAGGCATCAGTGGCAGCAGCAGCAGAGCCCAGGTTGCAAAAGTGGCTTCTACCAGCTGACTATGTGGGTCAAGGTAGCAAATGAAAGGACCAAGTGACCTCTAAGGGTCCTCTCAGCTCTAAATTTATGCTCCATGATCTATGGTAAGTGGGCAAAGGCTGATTTTACAGGGAGAGGGGCCGAGGCCAAGGCAGGGCCAGCTGCCTCTGGGATTGAGTAAGAGCCTACTTTAGTGGCCCTGAGCCCTGCCAGCTGATTGAGATGGCTAATCTGAGAACCTCAGGCATGGTGCCTACAAATGTGGGGCCACTGGAAGAATTCTTCAGAGGGAACAGCTAGAGAGGCCCCAGGATGAGAGAGGGGCCCCTTAGCAGCTCGGATTTAGAGTTAGATCATCTATTATAACCTCTCCAAAGTTTGGTGCTAGGAGTTCACAGGGACCGTGACTGATGCTTGTGGTAGAAGGAGGAGGAAAATGACTTCACCAGAGGAAAACAAACACGCAAATGAGCTTTCCACTCAGCCGTAGTCGGTGTTTAGCCTAGAAGAAACTACTTGGGATAAGAGAAACTTAGTTTCTACTCTCAAACTGAATTTGTTTCCTGCTGATACCAGCATATGAAAATAAGTGAGGAGACCTGACCAAAACTCTAAGGTTCTAATTTGGCTCTAATCTCTATTCTTTTGTATAAATTGGATCAAGCCCTTACCTTTCTCTAAAAATGTAAAGTTTCAATACAGATTTGAAGAGTATGGAATAAATCTGGGAAAAGGGGAATATGGGGGTTAATCCAAGGAAAGGGCAGCAGCAGACACAAGAGAGAAACCTTTCATGAAGAATGTTCCACCAGTCTTAAGGTACACCTTTCTGAGTGGAGCCTCCACTGATGTGAGATCTAGTGAGGGATGGAAGGTATAAGAGAAGAAAAAGCTTAGTATGGCAGCAGAGCATAAGGGAAACCCAGTTAGGGAATGCAGTCATCACCTTCTTGACCTAGGGCCTTCTTGACCAGCCATTTTGATGGACATGCACTGGTGGATCAAGCAGATTGGAAAAAGTTATCTGAAAGGCAGGCTGGCCCAAGGCCTTGGCCAATATCTGAACTCGAGGCCATTGGCCTTCCATCAGTCTCTGAACAAACATGGCCTAGGCAGCCCCTCATTGGCCTGGAACCCTCACATGTCTGCTCCAGAATGGAAGTGAAGCCTGGCAATTCAGCTGCTCAAAGCCACTCCTTGGAATGACCTACACACACACAGGCCATGCAGAGGAATTGGTGGTTCAGATTCTGAGATGACTTACTGTCCTGAGCATACACAAAGTATGTTTTCAAGCCAAAGTTTGGATGAGCCATCACTTAATGTGACAGACAGTTGTCCTTGGGAGTCATGGGACTTGAGTTCAAATCCCAACTCTTCCACTTATTACTTGTGGAACCCTGGGCAAATCTCTTTGCCTCATTTTTTTCCTCTGTAAAGTGAGGGAGTCAGACCAGAAAACCTATAAGTTCCCTTGCAGCTCTAGACCTATGTGAGTTTATCGATGCCAGAGAGACTCAAACATTTCCTGGATGCTAGTGCTAAAAATTAGATGTAAGGTCAAAGGGTATGAACTGGCAAAGTCTCAACCACTATAAGACAGAATGTACCAAATAACTCATAATAAGAGAAATGCAATTTGAAACAACCCTGAGGTTTTACCTCACATCCCTCAGACTATAAAAGTTGAGCAAGCTTAAGACAGGTCATTGTTGGAGGGGCTAGGGAAAAACAGGCACTAGAATGTACTTTTTGTAGAACTGTTAATTGCTTCAACCATTCTGGCAAATAATTTGAAATTATACCAGAAAAATAACTAACTTAGCCATACCCTTTGACCCAAAACACCAGTACAAGGCACACCCCTCCCCACAAAGGTGAAAGACAGAGGGAAAGGTTCCATATATACTAGATTATTTATAGCAGCACTTTTCATGGTAGCAAAGAAAGTGAAGCCAAGTGTCCAGTGATTGGAGGATAGTTCAACAAATTGTGTCTCTGCACATAATAAGTGTTTAGTAAATGCTTCTTGAATTAATTCACTTAGTCCATCCAAGAGACAGACAGACTAACCATCTGGGTAAGGGTATTGGGTCTTCTTTCAGATGTTTCTAGCTAAGGAGGGACACCTTATCTGCCAGGAGTTAACTGATCCCTACCTTTCACCTATAACCTACCAAAGGACAACCAATAAGAAAGAAGAAAAAGAAAATTCTCTTCCGCTTTTCCCTTCCGAGAGGGGGATGGGCATGTGACCATCAGGCCTGCTCAATTACTTGCAGCCAGGAACGTGGCCTTCAAATGTCATTTCCCAGAGGGCAAGAATGGCCTGTTTGGTGTGGCCCCACAGCATACCTCAGACACTGCTTAGCTATCGAATGGCAATTTGACATTTTGAGAAGACTCAGGCAACTGTTCTCCTCCCCTCCCCCAGAGGGGAGCCAGACAATCTCTTATCTTTGAAGGCTGAGCATGGATTATGCGGGCCTAAAATACAATTGGTTCTGAATTTCCTCCTGCTCACCCTCTCTGCCCCCTCACAGTCTAGGCCCCTGTGACCTCAAGGAGCAGCTAGGTGGCACAGTGGATAGAGTGCTGGGCTTAGAGTCAGGAGGTCACATCCAGTCTCAGGCTCTTCAACTGTAAAATGGGGGTAATAACAGCACCAGGGTTGTTGTGGGGATCAAATGAGATAATAATTGCAAAATACTTAGCACAGTGCCTGGTACACCATAGGTGCTTAATTAATGTTTATTCCCTCCCCCAATTACACAAAGTAATGAAAAGTAATCTCAAGAGGGTGCAAACACTAACAACTTGGAGGCTCAAGAAAAACCTAAAGTAGAAGGAGGTACCAGAGCTGTGCTAAAGAAGGAAGCTAAGGTTTCTGGGAAGTGGTAGTAAGCATGGAGCGCATTCCAGGTATGAGGCCCAGCCTACATTAAGGCACTGAGGGAGGAAGAAGAATGTCAACTGTCTTGGAAAAGCCAGCAGGCTGCTTTGATGGGAATGGACAGAGAAGAGGGGAATGAGATTGGAGGCCCAGGATGGATGGCTAACTGAAAGGGGAGGGAATAGGACACAAACAACCCACTGGAAAAGCCTCCTGGCCCTTCCAAGGGCTGCATGGCAGGGAGCGACTCCCGGGCCCTTCCTTTCTTACCTCTGTGCGGCCACTGTGGCTGCGGTCTCCAACGCGAACTGTCTCATCACTGTCTCCTCCAAGTACTTCTGCTCCCACTTGGTCATGTCAGCCTCCAGGGCCAGGATGCGTTCTTCCTTCTCCCGAAGTAGCTCCATGAGGGCTGAGGCACTATACTCTGAGAGGCTGGCGGCCTGCGAGGTGCCTTGACGCTGGTGGCACAAATCCCCCAGATTAGGGCTGGCCCTTGTTTGACAAAGGGCAGGGGCAAGGGCACTGCAGACTTCCCAAGGCCACCCCACCAAAATGGACCCTCAGAAGAAAAACAGCCTTCATCACATGCACCAAGACTGAGCTGCAAGGGACCTTCAAGGCCATCTGGCCCAATGCCCTTATTTTAGAAGGAGAGACTGAGCCCAGAGAAGGGAAGGCACTTGCCTAAGGCCACGCAGGGAGATAGAAATTGGCAGAGGCAGGATTTAAACCTAGATCCTCTGACTCGAGATCTAGAACTCTTTCCCCCCTCCCCGCCCCCGCCATTATTCATTGGTATTTCTACCATGGCGAGATAGTGGGCAAACAATGATTGGAAGGAGAAAGGGGTGGTGGGTGTCACCAGACCTGGGGCCTAGATCCAGCTCTGCCATAATTCAATGTATGATCTTAGGTACGACCTCAGTTTTCTTCTCTGTAAAATGAAGGACTGAAGTCTAGATGCCCTCAAAGGTCCCTTACAGGTTTCTAGGGGTGGTAGGGAGGTGACACCGGTACAGAGCACATGGCAGTGTAGCTCCTTGGAGCTGGTGCCTGGGTATCCATTACTGAGGCAGCTCTGGGCACAGGAAAGCGAGATGGCAGAGCCTGGGCTTTTCTCCACCTTCAGAGAAGCTTCCCACTGGAATGCACTGGGAGTGAGGGAGTGTGGCCCAGTAACCCAGATAGCAGGAGGGAAGCTACCCTGCGAGGCCTCAGGCCTCACCTGGAGCAGATGCCCACAGTGGCCCCAGCTCCGTCTTACCTGCTGCACGCGCAGAGACTCCAGCTCTCTCTCCAGTCGGGCCCGGAGGCGGTTCTCTAGCTGTTCCCGCTTCTCGCAGGCAGCCTGCAGCTGCATCAGGGCCTGCTGCATCTTCTCCACCTTCTCCACATACACTTGTTTCTTCTTAAGCTGAATATGAGGGATGGGAAGGGGCAGGAAGGGAAGAGGTTCAGTTGGCCACCAAGCCCAAGCCAGCTCTGCTTCCGGGATCAAGAAGGCCTCTCCCAGGTGCATGTATGTGGGGAAGCCAGAGCCGGAAACTGCTAGGAAGGCTCCCAAGTGTGGACCCCAAGTCCCCAGGAATCCTAGCAGCCCTGTGCTCACCCCTATGTTGCCAGCCTGTGACCCCTGTATTCAGAGATTCCAGTGAGCTATGTCCCCTCAAGCCACACAGCTGAGGAACAGCTGAGCCCAACCTGCCTCTCTCGCGGTATGGTTCAGAAAACCTCAAAGAGAAGCGGGGCAGAAGCCAGCCCCCCAAAAAGGCACATTCCCTTTCTTTGCCCGATCCCACTTCCTAGTCTGTAAAATGAAGGGCTGGCTGCAATGGCTCGCAAGGGCCTTGGCAACCCCCGAATCTATGATCCTAGAAATTCAGCAAATACTGGGACAAGAGGCGGCTTTGATCACCTTAGCTTTCCGGCAAGTTCTTGGGTCAAGAGTTTGAAGGCCTTTCCATTGGGTAGCTCTTCCCTTTACCACATTCCCAGAAAGCAGGGCTTGCACCCCCTCTTTTATCCCCATTTGGGCCTCTTTCTTACATCTATACTCTGCTGACTCCCATATTCTCCATCTCTCTCACATACATACACACCTTTCCTTCACTGTCTCTTTCTCTCCCTCCTTCCCACACGCTTTTGCACATAAATGTACACACACGTGCACACGCATACTCATGTGCATGCGCACACACACATATACACACACACGCACGTACACACTCCTCATTTCTCTGGCCTTTTCTCTTTAAGGTTTCCAAGGTGCTTGCATCACAACAACCCTGACAGAGTTAACCAGCTATTGCTTTTTTCACAGAAGATCTGCGCTTGGGAAGGTCAATGACTTGCCCATGATCACACAGATTAAGGAGTATCAGCTCAAATCCAGGTCTCCAATCACTTCCACCCAGTCTATGCTGGGCTTTCCCAGGTGCATCTGGCCAGGCCAAGCATTCTGGGAGAGGATGCTCCTGCTTCAGATGCCCCAGCCACAAGGTCTCCTCCATTTGACACAAAAGACATGCTGAGAAGTTGGGGGTGGGGGGCATCTCCTCTCATGGGAGATCTCAAAACCAGAGGGGAAGGTGAGCTCAGTTACTCCCAAGGCTGTTCTGGCCTCCTCTTGAGGAGGTGGGAGGCCCGGCTGAGGCTGCAGGCTCCCTGGCACACGGTTCCAGCTTCTCTCAAGTTAACCTGCTATGTCACAGGACGAGCATTCAGAGCCTAGTTGATAACACTGGATAGTGATATCCTATCTTTTGTCCTGAGCCGAGGTACAAAACCACATCTCGTATCTAGGGCCTGACTGAATCAGGCTAGATTCTTCCTCTTTCCAGAGGGGGAAACTGAGCAGCCTGAGAGCAACAAACCAATGGCACAGGCAGGGAAGAACTGAGGAGGCCAAGAAGGCTCAGACACATGAGCTTTGGGGGATGGGGAGAATTCTCATCTTACAGCCCTGACATGAAGGTAGTGAACTACCAGGTATGGAATAAAGCAGACATTTTCAGGCTAATGGATTGATCTCTTCTGTCTAGCTGCATATCTTTATTATGAGGGAGCTTTCAGTGAAGGGAAGTCATTGGGAACTGAAAGCAATATTTTAAATTAGCCAAACTTTTTTTTAAACAGGCCTGTGGGCCTCCCTGAAGGTCCTCGATCCTCACTAAAGAGCCCACCAACCCCTTCCTAATGCACACCTTCCCCTTCAAGTTGGAAAAATTTGCCATCAGGTCTCTTGAGAGATTCCCTGCTCAGACTCAAAAGAGTCCAAAAAGAAGAAAAAAGGTTCAAAAGAAAGGGCCAGCCAAGAAGCCACTGAAAGTCTTACTTTCTCACGGGCACTGCCTACGCCTATTCAGCGGAAACTGGGCACGAGCTAACCCCTCAATGGTGAAGGGCACAGGCGTCAACCTATAAGGAATCCAGGCAGATGGCCTGAATGTGGCAGCATCTTAAGCAACACCCCACCAGGGACTTACAGAAGAACTGGTGAGCCCTCTCCTTAGCTCTAGGACTAGTCCCTGTCACTGGGGCCCTGGTTTCATCCAGTCTTGTAAACAAGTTCCAAAGATTTACCAGCCCAGGTGTTTCACATCAATTCAGATTCTTCCTAGGAGGATCCCTGATAACACACAGCCAGGTGCCCCCTCCCCTCTCCTTCCATAAACAGAGGTTCTGTTTGAGCAACTGCAGGGGTCTTCAGAGGTCATCCTGCTCAACCCCCTCATGTTAGAGGGGGAAACTGAGGGCCAGAGAGAGAAGGGCTTTGTCCAAGGTCACAAAGCCAAAACACCCAACACCAGGGACCAAAGGACATTCTGTAAACCTATTTGCAAGCCTGCAATGCACTTCACTGTTGCTATTGGGGTGTGCATGTATGTGATTGTGACGGGAGGGGCAGGGGGAGCTCTTCATTCCCCCTCTGCTCCCCGCCCCCACCCCAGGTCCTTGTGAAATACTCAGGGACTGACCGATTTGTTAGGGAAGAGGTACCACACCCACAGAGAATCCTAACCCTTGTTCCCGAAGGCTTACAGCAACTAGTCAGTCAATAAACATTTATTAAGCACCTACTATGTGTCAGGCACTATGATAAACACTGGGAATATAAAAAGAGATAAAAGACAGCCCCTTTCCTCAAGGAGCTCATAGTCTAATGGGTGAGATAACAAGCAAATATTTACAAACAAGCTCTCTAACTAGTGGATAAATAAGAGATAACTACCAGAAGGAAGCTGCTAGCATTAACAGGGGCTGGGAAGGGCTTCCAGTAGAAACTGGGATTTTAGTTGGGACTTTTTAGTTGAGAAGCCAGGAGTTTGTACTTAAAGGTAGTTAAATGCAGCCAACACCCAGGTCTAGCATCTGTGAGCAAACACTACAGCAACTCACATTTATAATGGAAAAAGCAGTAGGCCTTGGCCACTGAGATTTCTCCATGCCCCGTCCTTGTTGGAAAAATAAAATCAAAATCTCTTGGACAAAAGCAGCCCCTGAAAGAGGCAGTCAGCTGGCTACCCTGGCCAGGCCTCCCATCCTCTGAGAAGAAAGAGCAGTAAGAGACCTCCAGGGAGGTTTGACCAGCCCGTAAGCTCCATGGGTGGCCCCAGATGCTCCTTCATGAGGGCTTGGGCTGCTTGGGCGGCATCAAGAGTGGCAGAGCAGGAGCAAGTAGGCAGCAGCCAGTCAGGCAGCCAGCCCTGCTCAGGTTCCAAGTGGAGGACTGTGGCCATTTTAAAGTAAGCCCATGGGTGTGCCCCATTCTGGGTGAAGGGCTTGAAGATCGTACCTTTGGAGTATCAGGCTGGTTAAAGCCCTGCTCTGGACAGGCCCAGTGCTAGGCATTGGGCATGCAAGAAAAAGAGAAACAGCCTGCCTTCGGAGAGCTTCCTCTTTGAGTAGTTGAAGGAAATGGGGAGGTCCAGCCTAGGAAGGGCTCTCTCACAGCCAAAGGACTGCACACGTTGTTCAATAAGCCCCGAGCATTCTATCTGCTTGTGCCCAATGAGAGGGAGCCCCCCAAGAAGGAGTCTGGTCTTGCTGTCCAAAGGGCTGTGGTGGGGCCCTGGGTTCTAGTGGAGCTTCTGTGATAACTTGGGACCAATCTGTTGCCTGGGCTGGCCCTCAGTTTGCTCTGTAAACTCTGGGGGTTGGACTAGATTCTGTAAAACTATGTGGGCTATAAAGAAAGAAGTATTATCTATAGACAAAATAAAGGTGTAGGAATTTGGGGTGGATCAGGAAAGGCTTCACCTAAGAGGAGTAGAGCTCTGAAGAAACAGAGATTTCAAGGGCTGCAGGCAAGGAAGCAGAACATTCCAGGGATGGGGGGTTAGTCTACACAAAGACAAAAAGGTGAGAGCCAGAATGATGTGTAGGAGATAACAGTGGGAATGGAGAGGGAAGGGGGATGATGGGAAATCAGTCTGGAAAGCTAGGCTGGAGCTTATCCAGATGACCTTGAAGCTCCCTTCTGCCTGGGACTTTCCAGGATCCTAAGGCCATTCTCCTCTTCCTCAGTAGAATCAAGAGGTTGAACTAGATGATCTCAAGGCATCCTTCCGATGTACCACTATATTCTACCCCAGCCCCATCCTTGACACAGCCCTGTGAAGAACTGTTAGAACCCTAGCACCTCCCATCATTCCCACTGGGACTTTGCCATAAGGATGTAGTGGACAGAAAGCCCAGGCTAGGCTCTGCCTCTGACATACTGGCACAGGTCACTCTACCCTTTAGTCCTTGAGACCAGAGGCACCATCCAGTCAAACTCAGGCCCTGAAGGGGGGGTGGGGAGGGAGCCAGTTTCAAATGTCAAATGGGAATTGTCTAACAAAATAAAGAAACACACACTACATTGTAGATAATGTGAATTTATGGTTTTCTAAGTCAATATATGGCCACTGGTGTCTCATATCATAGCTCTAGGCAACTCTCTCTAAGAATAGAAGTAGTAGAGGGTGAGCCTGGGGAGAGGGAGTCTCCTCATGGCCACCTGAGGCAATCTCAGGCCCAGTCCCTACCCATGCCTGTGCGTGTGCATATATGTATGTATGACGCGCATGAGGTGCCTCTTCGCCATCTTCCTCCTTCATGCCAATCTCAATGGACTCTATTTCTTATTTCTCAGACCACCCCATCTACCCTGCCCCTTTGCCTCCATCTTGCTACTGTTCTTAGGATTATGACCCCCTCTGGCAGCTTCTGTTTCTTGTATCTTTAAATCCATATTCCCTCCCAACTGTTCCCTCCATCTACCTTCAGAGATGAAAAATTTTCTTCTATCTTTCAAAAAAACCCCACCCCAAACCAACCCTCAACCCCCACCACTTAGTTCTGCCCACCCCCACGCCAGCTCTCTCCTGAGCCCCCTGCTGTGTCCAGCGCCTGCCTCCCTGCTACTCTTCC